CTCGGTGACATTTGGTGCTACCTACATCTCCCCTCCTCTTCGTCTCTCCTCCCACCTCTCATCTGTGTATGTGTGTACAAGGTCTGGGCATCGTCTATGCTTGGCCCAGACCCCACCATCTCACGATTGTATGTGTGTGGAGTGATTCTATGTGAGTCAGTCTATGTGAGTCAGTCCGTTTATCAGACTTCCGCTGCATATATGTTCATCCTACATTGGTTGATCTTTGGTTCTGCCCATACTCATTGAAGTATGTAACAGCTAACCATCTTTCTCGACAAAACAATTTCTGCTGTTTCCATGCCTCGTTCCAGGGAACGCTCTGAAACTGCTATGGAAATACGAAAATTGAAAATGCTTCATCTGGAAGAGGGTATGAGGCGAATGGCATTTGACAGTCATGTTGAAAACAAAGAAAACGATGGCATCCTACAAAGAACTGGTAATGCCATTGTTCTGGAAGCAGGAGAAAATCTCAATCCCAGGTTGGCTGCAATGATGAGTGAGGTTCTGGCGGCTGTGCAACGGAAGTCAGATCAAGGGAGGTCAGGCAAAGCAGAGCCAATCTTCACTAAAGGCAATGGAGGTGAACGGTGCACGGATTGGCAAGATGACATCAGTGGAAGGATAAAGGCCATGACTATAGAAGGTATGTAATTCTGCATTTTAAGTTGCTGGATAAATAGTAAATACAGAACGTATTTCTGGAGAACCACTTTCCTGTTCCCCCCCCCCCCCGCCCAAAACCACCACGCAGGGGCTGAGTATTGGAGGTGAAATGGGAAGCCTCGAAGAGTGGACACCCCCTATGTAGATGGCTAAAGTCTATTGGTGGTGAGCTGCACCTGCTTGAAACTGGGTCCACGGTGGGAAAAAGACTAGTCATCAATCCTGGAAACAAGGCCAGTTAAACTAGCAAACCTACTAGGGCTTATCCTATTTAGGGTGGTCCCGGTAAACAAGTGGCTCAATCAGAGAAGAAAAAAAGAAAGCAGAACCGACCAAGCAGCGTGGTGCAAAGTCTGTAACTCACAAATGAAGGAATCCCTCAATCACTGCTTCCTCGGCTGTGAAAAAGCTAGAGAACTATGGCAGGAAGTAGAACTATTCTGGAACAAATTATGAGATAAAACTGTAATGATCAAGCCAGAGACAATCCTTTAGAGAAACAAACAATCCCCTCCACAGGCATTGATCAATTTCCCTTTTCTCTCCTCGGAAAGGGAAATAGAGGGGGACAGAGGGGCCAGTTAGGTATGATAAAGGACTGACTACCTGTGTGCAGTCACGGTGGCCAATAACCCACAGCAGTTTATTAATACCTCAGTCACAGGAAACAGAATCGAGGAATCACTCCGACTTATAGGAATTATGTATGGAACTATCCGGATCTAAAGCATGGCATTGGCGGGCCGAATGGCAAGTAAGCGATTATAAAATGGTTTTAGGGAACTAGGGACATAAGTCCGTAAAGGGAACCCATACTGTTACATACTGATGTCACACGGGTCCCTTTCGGACCCGACCACTAGGCTAAGGGGTACTTAGGCCGGCCCAGCCAAAGGCCGGACCCTTCTCCCGGTAGGCCGCATTGAGGCCACCGGTTGGTTCCCTGCAGCAGACCAGGTCTAGGCCCAAACAACATTACCGTTGGGCCTGGCGGCGCTCTTGAGGCTGCCACTCGCGGGTCTGATCTGAATCGTCAATCTTGACGATCCAGATAATGGCGCGCTGGGCAGCATTGAGGCCGACGGCCGCCGAACGGTACTTAGGCCGGTCCAACGGCCATTCCTGCAGGCTGGAGCAGCGGCATTGAGGAGCAACCGCGCTGGGCTATTTTGGGATCAGCGCGGCACCGGGAACTGCAGCGCTAAGTTTAGCGCACTGCAGTAAGGAAGAGCGAGGAGGGGGACTTACCTGACCAGCAGCTACGAGCGCCATAGCTCCCAGCAGCAGAGCCGTCTCCCGCAGCAGCCAAGGCGCGACCTTGACCCATCAGGTAGGGCCTGGCGCTACTCACCATCTCCGCCCATGCTCTGCCCCTCTCTTCTTGTTCTTCTTCTTCTTCTTCAGACTTCTTCTTCCTCTCCTTCAGACTTCCTCTTCTTCTTCTTCTTCTTCTTCTTCTTCTTCTTCTTCTTCTTCTTCTTCTTCTTCTTCTTCAGACGACTTGGACAGAGATCAGTGATTGGACTTCGGTGGTAGGAGGCTGTGATACTTACCGGGTTCGAGACATTGGAGATAGTTGGGCTGGATACCAGGCGGCATCACAGATCGGACACCGGTTACATTAGGATTCTGTATCTCTGACATTGGTGACTTATGGTCCACCACATTTCTGATTTGTTCCGTGACATTTTGGACGACCATATCGGTGACCTTCTGGATTCTAGCTCGGTGACATCTGGTGTTGTCTATACCTCCCACCTCCATCGTCTCTCCTCCCACCATTCATCTGTGTATGGTTGTAGGGGGCCTGAAGCATCGTCTATGATTGGCTTCGGACCCCACCATCTCACGATTGCTTGTGTGTTGAGTGATGTCTGGGTGAGTTCAGCTATGTGAGTCAGTCCATTTCTCAGACTTCCTTGGTGAAGTATTCACCAGTATGCAACACATACACAGCAAGGAGCTTGTTAGGGTTTAGCGTCTATGTGGTAGGC